ATTCCTCCCCTTCACACATCCCTCCCCCCCCCATTCTCTGGTCCCCTTCTCAGACAACAGGATCCAAAGGTAAGTATCAGAGTCAGAGAGGGCCCTGATTCAATTGTTGGGGAGCCATGTGAAGACTAAGCTGCACATCTATTACATATGTAGGGGGCCGAGGACCAGTCCATCCATTTTTCTTTGGTTGGTGGTTTGGTCTCTTTAAGCTACATGGGCCCAAATTAGTTGACCCTATAGGTCTTCTGGTGGAGTCCTTGACCCTTTCAGCTCCCTCAGTCATTCCTCAAACTCTTCCATGCAATTCCCTGAGCTCTGTCTAATGTTTGATTGTGAGCCTCTGTATTCATTTCCATCAGCTGCTTGGTGAAGCCTCTCAGAGGAGTTATACTAGGCTCCTGTCTGTAAGCACAGCAGAGCAACATTAATAGTATCAGGGATTGATTTTCTCCCATTAGATAGGTCTCAAGTAGTGCCATTCCCTCTATCTTTGCTCCTTCTTTGTCCCTTCACATCTTATCAGCAGGACAATTTTGGGTCAAAGGTCTTGTGGGTGTGTCGGTGTCCTTAACCCTCCACTAAAAGGCTTGACTGGCTACAGAAGGTGACCACTTCAGGCTCCATATCTCCTGCTGCTTGGAATCTCAGCAAGGGTGACCCCGTAGACTTCCTGGGGCCTCCTGTATCTCAGGTGTCTGGCAAATCCCAAAGACATCCCCCATTTATGATTGTGTCAGGTTTACCCAGGATCAAAGAAACTGGAAGTTTCTCCCCAGCATGAGCTGCCCACATTTCTTCTTTAGATAACAGTAAGTTTTGTCGATGCCCAAATACAGATTATGAAAAACAAACTGTATACAAACTGTGCATTTTATAAGGTCATATTTTCTGAATGTATGCATCATTCAAGACCTCCTTTTACGGTTTGTCAACAAGATAGCTACATAAAATACATCCTGATATCTCACAGCTGTGAGTAATTCATCCTGTCTACCCATGCCGCACAAATAAAAATTTTATTTGTATCATCTAAAAGAAATACTAGTGCATAAATACATAAGCAAAGCTCATAAGAAACAGCCTTCTGACCACAGATCCCATGGAGGGGATATTGTGCAACCAATTAAAAAGCTCAGAGATGGCTCCATTATTCCTGTACACAGATAGTAAACACTGTGCTCAGCAAATAATACAGTTATGCAACTTCTCCAGAGCCTTGCAAAATGTCTCACAAGTGTTGGCCCAGTCTGCCTTCAGATTCTCCTAGGAATATCTAGAAATAAAGTCTCTTTGTAGAGTACTCTGGAGCCAAAAAAGAGCTTCACTTTGGATTCAGAGTCTAGAAGATGTAAGTGAAAGGGGAGAGTGTTTAATATTGGGGGCATTTGGCCTGCAGGCAGTCAAATAGCTATTGTTCTCTGCCACCTAGAATGCCAAAGGAACTAGTCCTGAAGGCTGAGAAGTTTCTTCACATTGGGTTTGTTGGGCCTCAGCATGATCAAATCCAAGCTCCCCACCTACAGGCCTTCCTTATGCTCCCAAAGTCAAGGCATCTCTCCTGGGGGAGCACATGGCAATGGCTTGGCTGTGGACCATGCACCATCTTCCGTCTGTGGCAGAGGCTCATGTGGGCTGTAGAACATGCAAAACCTTGCCTCAAGCATCTGAAGCCCATGAGGAAGTCTTCCAGGCCTTTCTCTGCCATGGCTGGAAGGTATGGAAAAACACTCTGGCTTCCTCTTGCTGGGTCATAGGGGATGTTAGCTATTTCCTTCTGTCCAGTTTATCAGGCTCTAGGACAACTAGCTTTACTAATTTAGCAAATTGACTCACATTGATAGTTTAACTCAAAGCTGGCAGGGATAGCCTATAATTCAGCTGGTGTGTTTATATGGCGAGGACCCTAAGATGCCTGTGCCTACCTTCCTGATAGTAGTACTTGATTTCAGGGGCAGAGTCACTCTGGGCACTTGGCGTGGCACTGCAGATGAGATCTGCAGATATTTTTCATGCACCCCCCAAAGTTAAGACTGTTCCAAAAGTTCTCTCCTGGTTTCTCTCTCAAGAGCCTCAACTCCAGACCCTCTCCTCTCAGCATTTTCTTTGCTCTTGTCTTTTTCTTGAGACAATGTTGAATTCGCGGGAGAGATCCAAGCATAATACGGAGGATGCAAAGCTCTTCCCTTTGCCTTTTTTTTTTTTTTTCCATAGCACGTGTGCTGTTCTCAGAACCAGTCTTACAGGCTGAGAGCTTTCCCTGATCACTAGCTTGGGACTGGAAGTTACTTCAAAAATTTTTGTCTAGATTCTAGAATATTTTGCATATGCATATGTTTCACTGGATAGTTTGGGGACAGGACTCCTGTAGAAACACAAAAAATCATTTATGTTTATATTTATGTTTATTTTTAGTGTAGATATTTTTTTTTATGTACATGAGTGAATGGAGGCCAGCGGTCAAGATTGAGTCTCTTCTGCTATTTCTTTGCACAATATTGTTGTTGTTGTTGTTAAAACATTATGCTCTTGCTGAGCCCAGAACTCAATGGTTGGTTAGACTAGCTGAGCAGTGAGCTCTCGGGATCCGCCTGTATCTGCCTGCCTCTCATACCTACAGCTATTGTAGATGCATACTGGCAATCTGGAGTCAGATCCCCATTCTTGCATGGCAGGCACGTTATAGGCTCAGCCATCTCCCAGTGCCCATTTATGTTTCACATACTATTTAAACAGGCAGCCCTGCAAACTCTTTATCACATTCGGCATTAGAGTACCATGCATGCATCGTGACTGTGACATCACAGGAAGTCAGGCACAGAATTTTGCATTGACGGTAGCATCTCCAGTTCAAGAATGCTGCATTTGGGGTGGTTTCAGAAGTTGGATTTTCAGATTGAGGATGTTCAGCTCATGTTCATTCTATTATCTCTGTGCCAAGTTGTCCATCATAGGGCATTTCTTTCTGGGTCCACCTGTTAGACATAGGACTGACACTGCTGAGTCTTCTGGTGTGGAGTGTATTTAAAAGATCAGAATTTCCATATCACAGATAGAAAACACTAGCCTGAGGTGACAATAGGAGATGCTGGCCTGAGCAGACAGCATGGGCTTTCTGAATGGAAGCATCAAGTGCCTATAAGCAAGCCCAAGCAGAACTTACCCTGTGCATTTGGGAAGAAGCAAAATGAGGAGGAAGAGGAAGAGGAGACTATCGTCTCTCCCAACGACCAACAATGAGACCAGAAATCCATGGCGGCAAGCCCTCTCTAGGCCGCCAGATAAAGACACAGGGATCCCAGATGCCAGCATGACCCCCCGCAGCAAGGTGGACTTCTGGCATCTTCCATCCAGACAACCCCTTCCTTTCTCTCTAGCCAGCACTCCCTTGATGTCATCCTTCACACACAGAGCCATGGCTGAGCATTTGCGTCATCTGAGCCCTGTAGTAGTTTCTTTTCTTGTTGTGACCAAATACTTAACAAAACCAACTTAAGGAAGAAAGTGCTTAAGCCCACAGCTCAAGCGCACAGTCCACCACGGGGAGGAAGGAAGAAGTCTGAGGCTCCGGCCCCATTGCATCCACAGTGAGGAAGCAGATGTTGAATGTTGTTGCTCAGCTCACTTCTTTCTTTTTATTGCCTCTGGAACTCCAGCCATAGGAAAGTGTCACTAACTTTCAGGTGGGTCTTCCTTCCTATCTTAACTACATCAGAGGCTTCTCTCCAGGCTCTGGCTAGTAGTAATGAACATGAACCATCACGAACTCCTTTGCCCTCCTCCGCTCATTGCCTGACCCATGCCCATGTTCCTTTCTTTCTCTTTCCAACATGGCTGAGGTACCCAATTCTTTCCTCTGCCTCTGGACATGTTTCTGACTTTTCACCCCATGCTACTCAACAACCAGGAGTTTAGAATGCTTGAGGCCAGCTTGAGAATGTTCTGGAAAGGCTACATGAGACAGTTAACGTTCCAGTAGTAATCCTTTTGTAACCTGACTATAACTGCAGACTTCCACATCGAGAATGATAAAACGGTGTGGATTTAGAAGTATTAAGGGAATTGTAAAATGTCTAGGATTAAAATTTCAATACCGTTTGTGCCCCATAAATATAAAGTCTTTAGTAACTTGAAACTGTGCGATTATGACTCAGGTCTGAAAATCATGGGTTCTGGCTGAAGAAATGGGAATAACACGTGGGGGAATCTGGTGCCGTCCCTCACCTCCAGGCCCATGCTGTGGGCCCACCAAATAGCAAGCATGTGACCTCATAGGCGAACAAGTCCAGAGAAATCACCAGGATGGTTATGAAAACGATACACTCTCCAGAAGAGAAAAATGTTATTCTTTCCGTCGGGTTTGCTTATGGAAATGGGGCTGAACTGAACCTGTGGCCCATCAGCCCCCATTGACAAGATCCCAAGAAACAAGTGCATAGGATCACTTTTCAAATGACTTTATTTAAAAATAAATAAATGAATAAACCCGTCTAGTCAGTCTGAACAGGCAAATTAATTTTATCTATAGAATGACTTACCAGAGCATATAAAATTAGACTTCCTAAGTGCTCAGAGGAAACCTAGAACTGTGTCTAACAGATTCACTGAGACTTAAGTAAATGGATTTAGTCTTAATATAGCTAAGGCCTTGGGACTTTTAATAGAGTTGATCTTAAGTGTAGCACTAATTTATCATTTTCAAAAGTCACTGCATGCACTTCGGTTGCTAATTTAAGAACTGAATTATATACTTTGTCTGAACTAATAATCCAACGTGGATTACAGAAAAATTCAATTTGTTGTCTTTAAGGTACACTATTTTAACATTGAGATTGGCTGAAAATTCATTCGTTTTTAATGCCTATGGTGAGTTAATGGGTTCTAGCGTTTCCCGGACTCGCTCAACTTCCAAGTATTTTCACTGTGTCATTTTTGTAATAAGCTTCTGATGCCAAATTCTTCCACCAGAATGAAAACCCAGCTGCTTTTCTTTTGATCCAGGGATGACTTTATGGGACCAGAGAGGAGCTTATGAAGTGGCCAGAGCCTCCCTTCTGAGCAAGGACCTTGGGATCCCAGGAGGACAGAGCTACCAGGCAAAGGTCGGCCGTTTGTTTGTTTGTTTGTTTGTTTGTTTGTTTTTCTTCCTTCCCTTATTTCTTTTTTTTTTTT